GGAAGTCAAGAACATGACGGATGCAGAAGCAAACTCGCTCAAAGAGTTTGTGACGGAGTCCACGGTGTCAGGAGCGGACTCCTTCTTCTCCTCGAAGCTGGACGTGCAGAAGGCGTTGAAGCGGAAGGAGGCGTTCGAATCAGCTTCCGATTCTGCCAGTGTTGGGCCATCCTCAGCGAAGAAGGTTAAGGGGGTGAAGGCCATCGGCGGACAAGTCTACATCCCTAAGCGCGACGCTCCGAAGCTGCACACTCTCATGACCACTGAGGTCGGGAAGCTTGACGCGGAGTACGCGGCTTGCAAGGCGAAGGTTGAGTTCATCACCGCTTCGTTGAAGAGCATCGCGGATGCCGATATAGTCGAGGACAGAGCGCTGGTGTCGTACATCAAGAGTCTCCAGCGCCGCTGGCAAATCGCTTGCAAGTGGAAGGGCTCGAATCAGGTCATCAAGCTCTTCGGTTTGGCTTCAGGTTCTTTGACCGCGGCACCTTCGACCGCGAGTCCTTCGACGGCGGGTTCGACGTCGTCAGCTGCGCAGGCTGCGCCGCCATTGGCAGACCAAGAGATGATCAACATCACGCTGAAGGACCTCGTGGAGCGGGAGAAATCCAGGAAGCCATTTTCAGGGGATGTGGAACGCATCAAGACGCTAACGGAGATGCATACCATCATCGACGAGGAAGTATTCGATTGCAACACGCCTGATGAACTTACTGAGCTGGTTGTGTCTTGGGAGGCGTGTAGCGCCATTGTCTCAGAGTTGCTGAATTCAGTGAAGGCCTCGCGCGGGTACGTGGACAGCCACGTCTCTGCCAAGAAGAAGAGGCAGGCCCGAGATCAGCGGGACGCCGAGAAGAAGAAGCAGAAGGAGGCCCTTGCGACGGTTAAGGAGGAAGCGAAGAAGGCGGCAGACATGATCAGGAGCAAATCGAAACCAGATACTCAGCAGGCCCCAGCGAAGAAGCCGATCTTTACCTCATCGTGGGCTAGCATCGAACCTGCGGCTGCCATCACCAACGTTCCCGAGTCAGACTCCGAGATCTGGAACAAGCCGTTCATCGTCACAACGCACGACGATGTTACGCTCCTCTTGGGTGACGCCAGCTTTCAGAAGGAGCTCGCGGCGTTTTCGACTGAGTTCAAGGGGAAGTCCGAGGACAGGGGCCAGAAACCGCTTCAGGGGATCGGCAAAGACGGCGTGGGCCTGGGCGAAGTGACGAAATTATTTCAGAAGTGGCAGCCGCCTGTGCTCGACGTCAGCAGCGTCGACGGCGGCGCCGCGTTCATGGCCAGCCAGTGGAAACTCGCCTTCAAAGAACACATGTCGTACGTGGGGTTCAACCCGAACAGTGCGGCGATCCTCCGCGTTCTCGCTGCTGGGCGCTTGGAGGCGGTGTACATCAAGGTCGACAGCATCTTCACCGCCCTGGCGGCGGACAACTGCCCTGAGATCCTCAAGAAGCTGTTCCCAAAGGACCCGGCCGCAGCCAACTTCAAGGGCGCAGTGATCGACGCGATTCCGCTCATGGACTCACCAGCCTTGGCTGCCGCGAAGTTAGCAGGCGTTGTGATGTGCAAGATGTCCCAGGGCCAGGGATCGCTGGTATACGTACCTACAGGGTGGCTCGCACTTGAGCAGTGCGAGGCAGGACAGCAGCTCAACTACGGCATTCGGAAGTCGTACATCACGAAGTGCAGCGAAGCGGCCGAGACCTACAGCTCGGTCATCTCCGTGTTCGCTGCCATGGGCAAGGACACGACCCGGATGGATACCATCCGCGCGCTCATGTGAGCCCATGTGCGAGGGAGGGATGAGAGGGATGAGAGGAATGAGAAGGAGGAAAGAGGAGGAGGAGGAGGAGGAGGAGGAGGAGGAGGAGGAAGGAGGAGGAGGAGGAGGAGGAGGGAGGAGGAGGAGGAGGAGGAGGAGGAGGAAGGAAAGGATGGCGGAGCCCAGAGCATTGAAATTCAGATTCAATGCTTCTTTTGTTAGTTGCATTTGCATGGGCTGGAGTGGGGGCAACCCAGCCGCAGAGCCCGCCGTCGGCGTTCGTGCAAAGCCAGAAGTTCAGAGGAGGGCAGGTCGCCAGATTGAAATGACCATCGAACGAGTAGGAAGATCAGGAGGATAATAAGAGGTAAGACGGGGGAGGAGGATGGGGTGGAGGGCCAGAGGGAGAAGAGGGGAGGGGTAGAAGGAGGATACAGCGATGGATGGAAAGAGGATTCGTGCTATTAGGAGGGGGATGGGGAGCAAATGTAGTAGGAGGAGGTGGAGGAGAATGGAGAATGTCAAGGAGGCGTAGGAAGAGGAGGAGGAGGAGGAGGAGGAGGAGGAGGAGGAGGAGGAGGAGGAGGTGGAGGTGTAGGAGGAGGTGGAGGAGGAATGGAGAGGCCGAAAGACGAGGACGGGGCCCCCGAATCGCTGCCGCCAGGCGGATTGAGCCGCGCGCGGGCCAAATCGGCCCGGAGGCGGCGCGGAGGGACTGCCGCCCTCGGCCCGCTTCGGAGAGGGAGAACGGGCCTCTTCTCCCTCTTCTAGCTGCCGCCGCTGCTGCTCCTTTCTCCTTCTCCGCCTTACCTACCCTTCTCCTCCCTCTCTCCTCCTTCGCCCTCCTCCTCCCTCCACTTCCCCCCCTTTTCTCCTCCTCCGCCTCCTCCTCATCCCTCTCCGTCGCTTCCTCTTTGTTTGCGACTATCAGCACGGCGGCCTCAACGAGGCAAGTACCAATACACGCTTATTGTCAACATATCACAGCGCTTGCACCCTCACGCTTTGAAATGTTGCCCATAAGCTCCAAACGAGTATCGATACAACAAGAACGCACAAAATTAACATTACGAACGTCGAGCACGAACAAACATCGCGTTGGGGTCAGCCTTTGATCACATACTCTTTATACCGAGGTCGTGCGTTTACGACGAGAGCGGAATGCGGAGGATCGAGCAATTTGTTCGGTAGTGAATCGATTCATGCGTCTCGCGCACGTTTTGTCATACTTGTGTGATTATCACTTTGTCGCAGGCCCCCTCGGTCCGAAACGTGAGCGTTAGGGCCTTATTCGCAAGATAAGGCTCGGTTCCTGTCCGAGGGCCTCAAACCCCCCCTGTGCGAAAAGCTAAATGGGACATCTTGAAAATTGCCAGTTTGTGGATCATACTTCAGGGCACTTCTTGGTCAGAACGGAGCTCCCGCCTGGAGGGCAGGCCCTTGGGGCGCTCGTCTTCCAAGGGGTGCCCCCCGTAGGTGGAAGAAGCCTGCAGGGACTCAGTGAGCAGGGAACTGCGGGCTCGAGGGCGCATCACAGCATCGCTGATGCGCCCTCTGTCTTTCTGGTGGTCCTCCGACCTCCGCCATCCTGCCTCCCACTCCCCTTGGATTGCCACCACCACCTGGACGAGGAGACACAGGAGATGCTGAACAGTCTGTGGCATCTCTTCTATAGGCGCGCGTCATTATGCCAGCCGTTCTGACTCAAGGTGGGCACACGCTCATGGCACTCCCAGACATCATCATGACAGCTGCCATGCTTCGTGCCCCGCGGCTGGAGGAGTTCGAGCGCAGCGGCGACATGGACGGGGGGCTGCAGTGCAGGGGGGTCCTCTTCAAGACGGGGCCCCCTTGTGCCGCTTTCTCAGCCTTGACGACCTCGGCGTGTCACACTGCGCAACCGTTGCATGGCTGGAAGGCGGTCCTTTTCAAAACGGGACTCTCGCTGACCTGGCCTGGGACGCTCTCGTCCTCCAAGAAGACGGGTGCCCAAGAAGAGGGATGCTTCCAGTATGTTGCGAAGGCCTTACGGCCGGTGCCGCCGACCCTGAAGACGACGAAGATGAAAGGGAAGGGAAGGGGGGTGCATGGGGAGGAGGAGGAGTGGCAGGAGGAGGAGGAGGAGGAGGAGGAGGAGGAGGAAGGGGTGCGTCGGTCGATTTCTTCTCGTCTGATGTCTCCTTTCGCTGCGGCTTATCTTGCCTGAGAGAGGGATGGGGATGAGCAGGAGAAGGAAGAGGAGGAGGGGTAGGAGGAGGAGAAAAAGGAGGGATAAAGAGGAAGAGGAGGAGGATGAAGAGAAGGACGAGGAATAGGAGGAGGAGGGAGGTCAGGAGGAGAAGGAGGAGGAGAATCAGGAAGAAGAGGAGGACGGACAAACATGAGGAGGACATGGAGAAGAAGGATAATGAGGAGGAGGAGGGAGAGGAGGAGAGGAAGGCGGAGGAGGAGGAGGAGGAGGAGGAGGAGTAGAAGGAGAGGGAGGAGAAAGAGGAGGGTGACAGATGAGGAGGAGGAGGAGGAGGAGGAGGAGGAGGAGGAGGAGGAGGAGGAGGAGGAGGAGGAGGAAGAGGGAGAGGAGGAAGAGGGGAGGAGCCTCTTGGAGCCTTGGTGAGGGTGTTCTTGGAGAGCTCGTGGGATTCTAGGAGGCTTCTTGGCTCGTCCTGGGGCCATCTTGGCTGTTCCGGACCGATCTTTGAGCGAGCGACACGGGGCTCTTCTGGGCGATCTTGGGTGCCATCTTCGGCATTTTGGGTTCTTTTGGGGCTTTTCGATATGTCGCCGCCAAGGGGAAAACGAATCTGGGTGGCGAACCCCCCCGGGACCCCTCCCAGGACCCCCCCCCCGCGGGGAAGGGATCAAAGGGAAGGGGCCTCCCTTCGACTCCAATACGACCTTGTACATGTCGCTTTCGCTTTGGATGGCACGCTTGAGGAAGGCCCAGGGAAAGGGATGGGGGACGACGGATACGGTGGGGAGACGGCTGTGACGACGACAAAGACGACGAGGAGACGACGGAGACGAGAACTCGAACGGAAAAGCCCATCGCACACGCCGACAGGGTCCGCGGATTTAGACCGAGATCTTGTAGGGACTCAGCGAGGAGGGAATTTGGGATGCGAGGGCGTGTAACAGCATCGCTGATGCATCCTGGGCTTTCTCTGGTGGTCCTCTTCTTCCTCCTTCATGCTCCTCTGCCATCCTCCCTCCCCATCCTCTTGGATTGCCACCACCACCACCTGGGCCAGGAGTGGTCGCGGCGTCTCTTCTAGAGGCGTGCGCCAGTCAGCCGACCACAAGAAGAGGTTTCGAGACGTGCGTGGCAGTTCTGGCTCAAGGTGGGCACACGCTCGAACCACATTGCCCCGGATATCGCGAAGGCTGCCGTGTTTCGTGTCTCCCCGCAGGAGGAGTTCGAGCGCAGCGGCGACATGGACGAGTCGATCAGCATGAGTATTCTTGGGGTGTCAGCGCAGATGGACTCAAGTTGCACCCCTGGCTACCGAGCAGCGTGCCCTGAAGATGTTTGGCCTGCCGAATTGGGCGATGCCTCGGCGACTTCGTTGGAAATGATCAGCGATACCTCCTGTGCGTCTGTGGGCGCGCACACGGACACTTCGACGATCGGCATTCAGATGGACGAATACGTGGATGACATAACTTGCCAGACGTGTGGTGAGGTAGGCGTGCTTCATGGCTGCGGTCATTGGCAGTGCACTACACTGACATGCCGGCCTACTTGGTATCAGCGGTTCGAGGCCAGGAAGTGGCTGGTCCCGCTGACGCCCGCGGGAACACGAAAAGAGCAGTCCTTCCAGACTCGCGAGCGCTGCGTAGACTGCCGCCCCGAGGGTCGCTGCCTCAAGGGGTCTTGCCCTCGGTACTGCAACTTCATCTTCAGGAGGGGCTCGTGCAAGTTCGGAGTCAAGTGCACATTTTGTCACCTGCATGGGCGCGCCCACGCCACAGGTAAGCTCAGAGGCGAAACCGACGGCAAACTGGACCTTCCATGGCCGCCGTCTGGCTCGCATCTGCCGCCTCCCCCGAAGCGCTTTTTGACACGTGGCAAGCCGGAATACCCGAAGTCTGCCACCACGTCCGACGGCGCGAAGATCGATCCAACCGAATGTTTGCGCGAATGCTGCAGTGTGAGCGAACCTTGGAAGGTGGCATGGTGTCCAGATCGCTCGACAGCGGTTGCACCCTCACCGCAAAAGCTTCCCGATGGCAGTGCGGTGCTCAGGGCCTCGTCGAAATTATGTCCTGATGCGAATGGGATGTTCAGTCTTTACCTGTAGAATTTGGCATGAGGCTTGAAGAGTCAATGGACTCCGTTGTTCCTCCTGCGCCAGCTCGCAGCAGCACGCTTTAGAGCATACCGCAAAGTTCCACTTCGTTCGCCTGCAGGGAGCGTCCAGTTTTGGCGCTCGCGCTCGGGCTTCCAGGGCGGAGTATAAACGGAGACTAAGTGGTAGCCAGCGTGGACCCAAAGCAGTGCGTTACCGCATTGTGGAGGCGATCGCCATGCGGCGGTGTAAGCTATGTGGTGAACGCTATGTCGTGCATCCTGCGTGGTGTGAGCTACCGAGGTGAACATTAAGCGGCGTAAGCCCACCTTGCATGACTCAACGTCGTCAACCCCATCATCCCACCCCCTCACCTGAAACTTGCTTTGCACAACCGATGCGGCCACGCTTGCGGTGACTACTGGGCACTGCCTTGCGCATCACTACGGCAGCGCTAACGCGCACAAGCTCGCGCGCAGAGCAGCCGGTTGGCTTGGCACAACCAGAGCGGCCGCGATGGGTCTTACCGGTGGGAACTTCCATGCGCATCTCAGAGGCCGCGCTGGCGCGCGCACATTTGTGCGGGTCGGTCTCTCGGGCAGGCGCTCTATCGTAATGAAGTCGAAGGCAAGGGCGGCACCGATGATGATAGTAGCGGTAGTGTGATGGTGATGATGACGATGGCGGCAAGGCCGACGACGGCTCGGATTCTGGTGACGACGATGACGATGATGATGTCCTTGTGTCGGTGACGAATGTGATTTGCTAATGATGGCGGCAATGCAATGGTGGCGACTGGCGATGGCGAAACTGGCGGTGGTACGGTGGTGCTGGTGAGGGCAACCGTGAGGAAGTGGGCGCACGCGTGGAAGTGCAAGACACCAGGCAGGTAACGTGTTGGAAAACAGGCGTCGTGGTTGACAGTTGTGTTCGAAGAGCTCTATCTCGATCGGTTTGCTTCGAGGACTAATGGTGCTGAAAGGATTGCGGCACGCGCGCGCGTGGCGGCCGCGCGCGTTGGAATTTCGGGTTCGTGTATTGGGCGCGTACAAGATCAACGCGAGTGCACCGCGTGGTGAGATTCAGAATGCGCGTCGTGGGCGAGATTCAGGAGGGAAAAGAACATACAGACACAATTCATCGCCGACCCCCTAGAACATATGGGAAAATATGGTAAGTGGGGTGAAGACAAAAAAAAAACAGCAACTATTGGAAAAGATCAGGAATTCTAGCACTTGTGTCTAATAACGCGTGTGTCCCAGGGCCCCTTCAGAGATTGCCAAACACATGCTCGGGCTGTATGATTTTTTTTAAATGCGGGCGGGCAAAGTAATGTTTCTGATGAGCCATACACGTTTCTAACGTTGCTATGCTGAAAGCGTGTTCAGACGAGTGTGCTTGGTATGGTGTCGATGTGTGCGCGCATGTGGGCTTGCTGAGTTTTTGCACAAGTGCCATTGACCAACTACCTTTTGGGATGCACGGGCGCGCGCGCATTGTAGAATCAGTGCTACTTAGCAGGGGTGAATGGGGGTGTCGGTACCGGACTGGCTGGCATGGTCTGAGTTCATACGGAAATCGTCGGAGGGGGGGGCAGAATTATCCGTAAGTTGAAGTGTCCCAGTGCATATCTTCAACCCCGGGGGGGGGAGGGTGGCGGAGTGTATCCAAATGCATGCAGCCACTTGCGGCAATTCCCGCCACCGTGCCAGCCCAGCAGTGTGGGCGGTGAGTGTTCGAGGGGGCACGGGAGGCCGTCAAGTGTGCCACCTCTTGTCCACCGGCTTGGGGAAGCCATGGTGGTGATGATGATGTTGATGACGATAATGTTGATGACGAAAGTGATAATGATGACGATGTTGATGTTGATGTTTATGATGATGCTGATGCTGATGTTGATGATGCTGCTGATGATGATGCTGCTGATGACGACGGTGATGGTGATGGTGATGGTGATGGTGATGATGATGATGATGATCATGATGATGGTGATGGTGATGATGATGATGATGATGAACATGATGATGATGATGATGATGATGGTGATGATGATGATGATGATGATGATGATGATGATGATGATGATGATGATGATGATGATGATGATGATGATGATGATGATGATGATGCGGGTGGTGGTGTGGCGTGGTGATGCTGAGGACGAGGAAGAGGAGGAGGAGGAGGAGGGAGATGAGGATGAGGATGAGGATGATGAGGACGATGTGGAGGAGGAGGGGGAGAAGAAGGGGGAGGAGGAGGAGGAGGAGGAGGAGGAGGAGGAGGAGGAGGAGGAGGAGGAGCAGGAGAAAGAGGAAGGAGAGGAGGAAGAGTAAGACACCTTTCGTCTTCACAAGTTGAGGAGCCCCCATGGAACTCGTTTGGGCCGTCTTGTGACTGTCTTGGCCTCCTGTGAGCCAGGCTGGGGGGGGGCCTGGGGGGGCTCTTTCGGGCCGTTTTGGGGCCCTCCAGGGCTCTTCTTTGGGCCGTCTTGAGGCCCTCTTAGACAGTCTTGGGGGCTTCGTGGGCCGTCTTGGAGCCCTTCTGGGCCGTGTTGGGGCCCACGTGGGGGCTTCTTCGGCCGTCTTGGGTTTCTCTGAGGGGCCTCCTGGGCCGTCTTGGGACATCGGAAGCTTGAGAAGGCGAGAACCCCCAAAACAGGGAAACATGAAGATAACGGATGTTTGTCTCTCGAGGAGCGTTTGGGAAGGCTCTTCGGGCTCTCTTCGGACGTCTCGAAGGCCTCTTGGGCCGTCTTGGGGCCATCTTGGGCCGTCCTGGAGCGCTCTTGGGCCATATTGGCGGCCTCGGCCGCCTTAGAAACCATGTTAGGCGTCCTGGACGCCTTGGAGAGCGCTGGGGAGGTGTGACGCAGCCTAGGGGGCCTCTGAAAAGGAAGGGGCAATTCATGCATATATGCGCTTCCCGAGGGGGGTGCCCTGGGAACATTACAGAACTCCTGCCAGGCAACACTTGACATTCTATCACGCCCCAACGTGCCAGGGGGGCCGGTGGCAGATCGCTAACCCTGGGGGAGCGTGGTGGAGCGCATCTTCCCTTTCGCTGGGGAACTCGGCAGTGTAAACCATGTCGTGTAAGCTAGGCGGTGTGAATTGGAGGCTGAATACATGGTGTGCAAGCCAAGCTACGTGACGCAGCACATGTTGCTCAGCATATGTGATGCTATGCTATGCTATGTGGTGCTATGCTATATGGTGTGCAAGCTAAGCTGTGTGGAAAACTGTGTGGTAGCGAAGCTGTTTGTCGCGCAAGCCCCGGGCACGGGGCGCCCACGAGGCGGCACGGGCGGCAGCGTGGCGCAACCTCGGGACACCGCCCCCCCCCCCCCCTTCCCCCCCCCGCGCGCGGGGCGCCGACGAGGCGCGCCCTCGTGGGCGGCACGGGCGGCAGCGCGGCGCCTCCTCGGCACACCCTTTGAGCGAGGGGCGCCCAGGACGCAGCACGGGCGGCAGCGTGGCGCAGCCTCGGGGCGGCCCACCCAGCGCACGGGGCGCCCACGGGGAGACCACGAGGCGTCACGGGCAGCAGAGTCGCGAACACCCTGCATTCCCAACCGAGTGCTCAAGCAAGAAGGGTAAGACCCCCTACGTGCAGGCATTGTTTGGGTAATCTCGTAACTCGTCTGGCTATCTGACGCTGCTGCTCTCGCCAAAGTTCGTTGGCTCAGGACCTGATCCTCCAGTTATTTATCCTCTTGTTCCTTCTCGTTTGCCCCTCTTCTTCTCCCTCTCCCTGTCGTCAAGGGACGCAGCCTGTCAGCAACCTCGATCCCCGATCTTCGGCGGCATATCCCCCCCCCGCTGACACAGAGTATTGTTCAGGTCAGATGGGCGTGGGAGACGTAGGCTCGCAGGAGCGTCGGCGGGCGCGCGCGTACGCCAGGCAATAGGGGAAGGGGAAGGGGGATGATGATGATAATGATTATGATGTTGCTGCTGATGATGATGATGATGATGATGCTGATGCTGATGCTGCTGCTGCTGCTGATGATGATGCTAGTGATGCGGGTGATGATGGTGACGATGATGATGAGAATGATGATGATGATGTTGTTGATGATGATGAGGATGAGGGGGAGGATGATGATGATGATGACGATGAGGATTATTATGACCCTGATGATGATGATAAGGATGATAAGGATGATGATGATGATGATGATGATGATGATGATGATGATGATGATGATGAGGATGAGGATGATGATGATGATGATGATGATGATGATGATGATGATGGTGATGATGATGATGATGATGATGATGATGATGATGATGATGATGAGGGTGTTGATGGCCATAATGATGGTGATGCTGATGCTGATGCTGATGCTGCTGCTGATGATGATGATGCTGATTATGATAATGCTGCTGATGCTTAGGATGATGATAAGACGGAAGAAGGAGGAGGAGGAGGAGGAGGAGGGAGAAGGACGCGGAGAGAGGCGGGCAGCGTCTGCGAGCCGAGAGTGGCAAGATCTCCGCCACATCGCTCGTGTTCCTAGATGGCCGCCGACGCTCCATCAACCGTCGCGAGGAGCTCTGCCTTCAGGGAGCCTGTCCACGCTGTTGTAATCTCGTCCTCAGGAGGGTCACGTGCAAGTTTAGAGCACAGTGATGATTTTGTCATCACGGGCGCGCCGACGTCACTGGACAGTTCAGTGGCAAGGTCGACAGTTCATAGGTCTTTCCATGGCCACCATCCGGCTCGCATCTGCCACCTCCCACGACGTGTCCCGCGAGATTGGACAAGCCAGAGCCTCCGAGGAGGGAGGGGGCGGCATCTCCCCCCCGCTGACACAGAGTGTTGTGCAGGTCCGATGGGCGCGGGAGACGTGGGCTCGTAGGAGCGTCGGCGGGCCCGCGCGCAAGGCGGTAGGGGAAGGGGAAGGAGGAGGAGGAGGAGGAGGAGGAGGGAGAAGGACGCGGAGAGAGGCGGGCAGCGTCTGCGAGCCGAGAGTGGCAAGATCTCCGCCACATCGCTCGTGTTCCTAGATGGCCGCCGACGCTCCATCAACCGTCGCGAGGAGCTCTGCCTTCAGGGAGCCTGTCCACGCTGTTGTAATCTCGTCCTCAGGAGGGTCACGTGCAAGTTTAGAGCACAGTGTTGATTTTGTCATCACGGGCGCGCCGACGTCACTGGACAGTTCAGTGGCAAGGTCGACAGTGCATAGGTCTTTCCATGGCCACCATCCGGCTCGCATCTGCCACCTCC